TTTTTTTTTTAGCATTCCTTGGTCTATATAGACTATATCCAGTACTTGGCAGCTGATGGCAGGCAGTGTAGTTCAGAGAAAAACTCACACTCTTAGGAAGATCTCAGCCATGCACCTCGTTCAGTTGGGCACCGTGCCCTGTGTTGCTCGGCTGTAGGAAACGTCACTAAGCTGTACCTCTCTGTTTTGTTACACCTTTTTGGATCATCCTTTCCCAAGCAGTGTTCAGACTCTGTCGTTCTGTTTTGTGATCGTATTTCAGCAGCATTTTACATCAATTTACTTAATGGTTTTTATAGCACCTCTTCGCCAGATGTCATCTGGGAGCGTTCCTGGCTCTTCTGGAGAGAATATGCTTATCTATCTACTTGCTGGTGTTGCGGCTTTCAGTGGTTTATTTTATGTAAGTGTTTTGGGGTGGAGCTGCTCGTGCTTTCTGAGTTGCCATGCTATGAGGTGTGTTCTGGGTTAAAGAACACGATCAAGGTTCAAACTGTCAATAGAACGTAGACGTTGTGGCGTAGAGCTAAGTACAGCCTAACTGAAAAATCAGCTCTAGAGAACTAGTGAACCTGAATGCCTATTGCTTGCCTGATTTACTGTTGCTTTGGTAACTAGTGCTGGGTCAATCTTAGTGGAAAGCATGTTTAAAACTGTGTGAAGTGAATGTGTCCAAAGCTGGAGTGAGGCACCTGCCTCTAACCCCTTGCCTCTTCTTATCAACCACAAACATTAGGAATATCTCAAAGTGGGTGAGACAGATATGAAATAAGCTGTCTGAAGCTGCAAGGGGAAGATTATGAACCTAGTTAATTTGGGCACAAAAAGAAAGATTAGTTACTTTGAAAAAGAGTGTTAAAGTTTTGTAAACATCTGCTTTCATTAAGCTTTTCAGTAACCATTCTCTTCCCTGCTTCTAAATAAGTCAGATTCTGTGCTTCACATCCCTAAATCCTCCATTTTGTAGCTTACATCCACCCCTCTTCCCCAAGATCTGAGATAGTGACTAGCACATCCCCAGTACCTATTTCCCTGTCCCACAAAATAATCCTCTTGAATGGTAAGTAGCTATTTGTTCAAAATACCAAATTTGTTTGATTGCATATCCGGAGGAATAACAAGCTCTCTTGCTGTCACATGTTTACCACGTTAGAAAAATAATAATAATAATAATCTTATTGTAATTACCTTTTAAAACACTGTTTTCAATTCCTGAAACACAGCAGCACTTCAAAAGGTGCCTGGTATATTGTATTTGCTTTCTAACAATGGAGAAATATGAAATGCATAAATATATTCCTATAGCATGCTGTTAATTTTTTTTTTTAACCTTGCTTAGCATAAATTTTATATACCTTTTAAGGTAGACAGTAGCACTTGCTTAAAAACCCTTCTCTCCCTCTCCTCTCTTTGTGTTTGGTAACTTTGTAGGGATGTGGCAATAAGTTCAGGTGTAATTTCCTTTCAGGCCTACAGAGTAGTCAGTTCATCCCGCAGCAGGTTTATTGACCATGTGAATGTTCTTCATGAGAGAGCTGAGGGGCGGAAAGGCAACCCTTGGTCAAGGAAGGGTGAGTTGAGCTCTTCTCTCTTGTTCCCTGGGTACACGAGGATCTGGAACAGATTTCTGGGTTGTCTAATCAGGCCTTAACACTGTCCAAGTCCTTGTCTGAACCGTGTGAGTGGGAGCCAAAACAAAGGTGGTTGTGCAGCGTTGTTCTGTTACAAAGCTGCTGCTGCACAAATCTTGAGAATGGTGTGAGTAAGGCAATGAATCTGACCTTTGATCTGCCTGTGAGAGTCTCTGTGGATGGAAAGAGTTGATGTGTGAATCATTAATCGTATAGTGGGTATTTGATTTACTGGAAGCTTAATGAAACTTGACTGGATGCATAATGCTGTCAAAATCAGTTTTGTTCTTTCATTTGTTGGGGTGTAGGAGAAGATACTAAATTTTTCTCAATCAGCAGGTTGGGTCCAGGCCACAGGCCATCAAGAAACACAGTTCAGTAGGGGGAAAAAAAAGCCTCTACCATTTTTTTAAATATTCTAAATTGGACCAATTTTTTTTGTCCCAAAACTTTGATTTTGTCCTTTTTGATTTAGGGTTAAATGAAAAGCAGGCACTACGTAAATGTATGGCAAATCCTTACTTAGCTCTTCGTGCTTGGATAATTAGACCATGTTAGTTCAACTACTTGTAATGGAATGTTGTCTCTGTCTACATCAATTAGTGTTACAGTGACGTTAATGTAAAAGATAGAACTTTGGCAAACATGGCCTTGCTAGGAAAAGCAATTATCAAAATTACCTAAGGAACTTTATATCTTTTTATTTAGTTGTTATTTTAAAAAAATAAGTAAGCTACTGAAGCCAGAGCACTTGAAGCTCTTCTTTATTTTTTCTGATACTGACATCTAGGGAATTGATTTAATATATTTGCATGCACACAAAGAATAGATTTGAATAAAGTATGCTGAGTTTAAATTTTGTTTTCAATGTGAGAACATGATTTGAATTGTCTGCCTCTATAATTATTTCTTTTGAAGTTGTTAGCCTTGAAGTTCCACAACACATCCTTTAGTTTTAGAACTTTAAAATTACAGATTTCAAGATTTAAAATGGTAAAACACCTTAATTTCCTTTTACTTAAGCAGCTGGAAGCAATACAGTTTTTATACTCCATTCTTTAAATACTGAGAATTCAGCCACGGTTTTAATGCAGTCCTTCCTTGT